CGCAGCGAGAAAAGGAGGGGAAGGAGCCTGAAAAGGAAGTTGAACAATTTTTTATTTTAGCACCAAGAATCTTATCTTTAATAGGGAAGAATAATTATGATATACAAAACTGTAAGAATAAAACATTGAATGGTGTAGGGACTCTTTTGAAATTTTGTTTGAAGAGGGAAAGAGTAGCAGTGCCTTGGACTAATAATGGAGTACTAATATCAGCTCTATTTTTTTTTTTTTTTTTATATTTTATTGTAAATAATTAAAAATTACTATTTATTGTAGAGATTGATTTACTTTCAATTTAAGGTAGTTTCTATTTAAGTAAAATTAGTTTTTCCTTATAATTTCAATCCAATCAAATATACCCTTAAAAAAAATTTGAAAGAAAAATATCAACTAAAGATTACTATTTATGGTAGATTTGTTTACTTGTGTTCCCTAATGAACTAGAAAATTCAGTGACATGAAATTTGCTTCTAACTCAAATATTTTTTTTTCACCCATCTTTTTATCCCAATTACATAGAAATAGTTAAGGTAAACTTTCTATATCAAATTTTAGTAGCTATATAAACAATGAATTTTAAAGAATTTTCATTTTCTAGTAAACTGTTCTCTTTATTTTTTATTGGGATAATTTCCCTGACACCCCCTTCAGGTTCGGCCAAATATAATCCTCAAACATAAATATTTATCACTCACATTATAAACATTTGTTCCATTTTTCATTAACACCCCCAAATAATAGTTGACAGGTGTGTCAACCACTTTTTACATGTAAAAAAGATATTCTTATCATTTGACTTTGGTTTGACTTATTAAATTATTTCTTTAATGATTCAAAAAACATGCTTATCCTTATTTGACTTTAGTTTAACTAACTGACTTATTTTATTAAGTATTCAAATGACATGTTTACCCTACTTTTCTATTGAAATCAACGGAACCTCTTTAATCGTTGTATAAGACTCATATGAAGTGATCAAAATAAAAACTTTACACGGTCAAACATATATATATATATATCAACCATAGTTTGTTTCACGTAATTATGTTTGGTTGCTGAGAAACTGGAGGAAAGTTAAATGATGAATAGAAAAAATATTTCTAAAAGGATTTCTGATATGACTTTTTTTTTTTTTTTCCCTTTGGTCACTATAGTAGAGTTGTGATCCAGTGGGTGGAATCATCAATCCATCTACATACAAATCACTATTTTCTTCTACTTCAAATCTATTATATGGGTTAAGACAGAAGTCCTTACAGGGCAAGAGCTCAATTTTTCTGCCCCTACCTTTTCCATCCTTTCTTATATTTTCTCATCAGCCAAACAGAGCTAAGCAAAAAAGCAGGAGACGAAGACCATTTCCTGCACATTCAAAGGAGATCGAAGTTTAAACTGAAATTTGTTTTATTTTTAGCAATTAACTTATTGACAAAACATATATATATATATAAATTTTATATTGCCAGACTTTTCGCAAACGTACAGCCCTTAAACAAACAAACTGTAATAAAGATATGAATAATTTCATTGACACCTTCAGTAGTTTGGCCAAATATCAGTCTAAAATATCTTTATTTCGAAAATAACTATCACTTAGGTCCATTTTCACTTTTTCGTTACTGCCTCCGTTAAAAACGTGGGAAAAGACATATTTGCCCCTAATTTTTTAATCACATTTAATACAAAATATCAAATAAGGTAAATGACTTTTATACCCCTTATATCTCTATCTGTATGGACGTCCTTTCTCCTCAAGGAGGCTTGTCTTTCTTATCTACAGATGTGACCCACAGATTAACAAAACCATGAAACCCTAAAGCACAAAGATTAACCGTAGCAGCTTTGGATCACCAAGGCTGCATAAGAGCGAGTACTGCTCAAGGCACATCAATGATTTACGGGATACAGGACAACCCACAAGACGGCGATAGAGGTCAGCTATCAACGGATTTGAGGTAAGGATCTATGGGTAGCTCAAGAAGGTCAGTTGTGGGGAGTCCATAAGGAAGAAGAGGTTCGACCATTGACACTGAATTAGTGTCATTAGAATTCGATAAAATGGAATTGATAGTCAGGTTGCCTTGCCGGTGGTGGTGGTGGTTGAGCTTGTTGGTGCAGTTACTGGCGGTGGTACTACTAGCGGTGGAGGTATCTGGGGGGGGCTTAAAGCGTGGACTTGGGTGGCCTTACAACGGTTTCTGAGATTGAGACCGCGCATGGTATCAATTAAAGTAGTGTGTATTGACGGATGAGATTTTCAAACCTTGATTTGGAAATGGGTTTTTTCGATTGATCTCCATTATCAGTTGAAAAAGACATGAATCGAACAGGATTGTAAATCAAATGGTTGATTGATTAGCTGCGACTTGCTAACACCATCATTAGAGGGAGAGAGAGAGTTTCTGGCTAAAGTCTAAAGACTCTGCTTTGGTTTTCTTTCTTTTGTAAGCATTGATGCAGAACATATCGCCGGTGTTTATGGAGCTTAGCGACATGGTGGTATGAGGAGAGGACATGATGTGTGTGTGTATATATATATATATATATATATATATATATATATATATAAGAAGCAATAAGGAGTAATTTAATTTGTAGAGTTCCAGTAATTCTTGATCCACGCAATCCTTGTTGAAATTCTGGCAATCGTCACCCACTTTTTCCCCGAACCTGGCCTACGGACGCATAGTGCTTCACCTTCGGCGAGAGCTGATTACATTTGGTTTATTGTATATGAATTTTTGCATTATTATTATAATTTTTTTTTAGTAATTAATCAATTTTGGGGAAACCATTAATTGTTTCTTTCAATTTATTAATCAGGGTATTTACGGATTGATTTGGGAATTTAGTATTGGAGTTTATGGCACCAATAAGTTATGTATAGAAAGTGTATATGTTGTTGTGTATGAGAGAGAGAGAGAGAGACGAAAATGAATTAGACAGATGAAGAAAAAAAAAATATATAAATTAAATATAAATATAAAGTGATAGAAATAGACTTCAATTCACATGCTTTACAATAAAAAGCAGGTTTATATGAGGACAAGCCTATATATATATATATATATATATATCTGAAATGATGGAATATATGAATGGGTGATTGATCGTAGAACCGGACACTTGTAAAAAATTTCTTATTTTTCTCTTTCTCTTTTTAAATTTCATTAATTTCTTTAAAAAAATAAAATTTTCATATTAAAAAAAATATATGAATGGGTGATTTTTCTTATTTTAGTTTTTAAAATTTTTCTTATTTTTCTCTTTCTCTTTTTAAATTTCATTAATTTCCTTACAAAAATAAAATTTTCTTACTTAAAATTTCATTAATTTCCTTAAAAAAAATATGAATGGGTTATTTTTCTTATTTTAGTTTTTAAAATTTTTCTAATTTTTCTCTGTCTTTTTTTAAATTTCCTTAAAAAAATAAATTTTTCTTACTTAAAATTTCATTAATTTCCTTAAAAAAAATATGGAACCGAACACATGTATGGCGTATAATAGCCCTCAAGAGCAAACTGTATGATGTTGATCACCTACTTTATTTATTCTTGTATATGGAAAAGGAAGGGTAAACATGTCATTTGAATAGTCAACCTAAAGTCAAATGAGGGTAAACATGTAATTTTAATCATTAAAAAAACAATTTATTAGGTCAAACCAAAGTCAAAGGGTAAAAATATCTTTTTACATGTAAAAAGTGGTCTGACACACCTGTCAACTAACTTTTGGGGTGTAAGTGAAAAACGGAGCAAATGTTTGTAATGTGAGTGATAGTTATTTTCGAAAGATGTTTTAGACTGATATTTGGCCAAACTATTGGGGGTGTCAGTGAAATTATCCCATAAAGATAATAAAAGGTGAAAGTAGGGTTGGACAATTGATTTAAAAGTTTTTTTTTCTTTTTCTTTGGCCAAATCTATGAGAGTGAATCTTAAATTAAAGATCTCTACGCAATTGTTAAGCAAGACAAAAAGAGATTTTTTTTTTTTTGAATGGTAAAGCGAACACACACACTTTCTGGCCCGCGTCAGGGCTCGAACCCCTTTCTTTTCTTTGTACCATTGGGCCAAAGGCCCTTTGGTGAGACAAAAAAGAGATTGACTTCTCTAAAATGAAACAAATAAGACCAAAAAAATAAACAAACTATATATAGAGAGAGAAAGATTGTTGTTGAGAGAGATTAGTGTAGAGAGAGAAATTTTCATTCCCTAATTCCTGTAACTTGTCTATTATTTATGTATGGATTCAATAGATACATATATATATATATATATATATATCTCATGTATAAAATATCTTCAAAAAAGGGGCACTCTGAAACTAGGGTTTATGGTTTTGTTAATATGTGTCTCGTATAAGTAGAAAAGAGAGAGATAGTGGTTTTGTTAATCCGTGGCTTGTAGAGTTGTCTTTGTAAAGAAGAGAGAGAGAGATAGAAGCTCCCTTCAGAGATAGAGGAGGGAGAAATAGTGTGTATTGGCGGGAGTGTGGTTAGTGGTGGGCAGGTGGGAGTTTAATTAGGGGAATAATAATCAGACATTTTGAAAAAATTGTGGATAAAAAATTAGGGATAAATATAACTTTTTATTTATTTTTAAAGGGGTAAAAATAAACTTAAGTAATAGTTATTTTTAAAAAATATTTGAAGTTATATTTGGTCAAATTTAAGGGAGTATTAGTAAAATTGATTTTTTTTGATTTTGTGTCTATGAAAATTTTGTACTCTTTAATTGATAAATTTATTATTATTAGTTAGCTGCCACTGTCGCACACTGCACAAGTATACAATTATTTATTGGTGATAATAAATTTATAATTATTAATTAGTTTATCTTATACACGTATACATAATTATTTATCAATGGCAATAAATTTATACTCATTAATTACTTGTCTTACGAATTATTTTAATTATAGAAATTTAAAAATCGTGTTAAAATTATAACGTGTGAAACTGCGAGCCCCGCATATATAATAGCAATTATAGCTCCCATCCAAGAACGGAACCGCCTAATCAATTGTTAGGGTTTTTGTTTTCAGTATTCCAAATTAAACCTCTGAAGATGAAGTTGGTTTTGGATGATGCTGAAGACCTTTCCACACCAGTAGAAACGAGCCGGAAACTTGGTGATGAAATTGATGATGGCGAGAAGGAAGAGCGGCCATTGGATGGATCTGACGATGATGATATATTTGTTCGAGAAGCGTTTTCCAGGGAGCCTACTGCTGACGAGTTAAATTGGTATAAAATGCAGAAGGGAAAACCTGCTGAGATCAGTACACAAACCTATTCTGATTCTGAAGACGAGGATTTGTTCCAAGAAGAGATGAGCAAATACTCAAAACAGGTTAAGGACAGCAAGGTACGTGTAGCTTCTATTCTGTAATGTTATGCCCTCAATACGTTTCATATGTATATTTGGCTAATCTTTTAGTGTATTCTTCTAATAGGGCTTTGATGTTGATGACTTTCCCTATTTAAGATCTAGATGTGTAATGGGATTAATTAAGCCAGTTCTCCAACTCTTCACCAACACCCCCCTACTAGAGACTGTCAACAAGCTCACAAAGTTAGCAATTACAGACTACAATAGTAAAAGTGTATGTATTGTTTTATTCTTTTTTTCGTTTCTCCTTTTTGATGAACATATTAGATGCCCATTTTCTTTCTCTAACCCCTTTTTTAATTGTAAATTCTCTTGCAGGGTGAATGTTACAGGGTTGTGAAGGTTGTGAAGGCAAATTTAAAGATGGTTGCTGGTTTCCTTTTTTATATTACTTTTGAGGCCAAGATTGCTGATGACGAGCAGCCTATAGAGTTTCAAGCTAAGGCTTTAGCGGGAGTTGAAGAGGACCAGGTTTATTCATGTTGTCCTAAACCTACTCCTTGATCAAGGTAAAGAGTGAAAGACAAAACTATATATGATAGTGGATGCCACATGTAACCTAAAAGTCCCATTACTTCTTCAGTACTACAAGTTCAGTCTCCTATATATACATAGTCACCTCATCTCCACATATATTTGTCATCTGTAATCATCAAATTTATTTGCTATATAAACAATGAATGTAAAAGAAGCTGCAGTTTTCTGTTCTCTAGTAAACTGTCGTCTTCATTTTTTATTTTGTGCCTGTGAAACTTTTGCACTCTTTAATTGATAAATTTATTGTTATTAGTTACCTGTCTTATGCACACTACACATGTGCACAATTATTTATTGGTGATGATATATTTATAGTTATTAGTTAGTTGTCTTATGATAACTGCACAGGCGCACAATTATTTATTGGCGGTGATAAAAATTTATAGTAACTAGTTAGTTGTCTTAAGCACACTGTACAAACGTACAATTATTTATTGGTGGTGATAGATTTATACTTATTAGTTAGCTGTCTTATGCACATTGTACATGCGCACAATTATTTGTTGGTGGTGATAAATTTATAGTTATTAGTTAGTTGTCTTATGCACAATACACAGGCGCACAATTATATTATATTAGCTATAGAATTTGATTTTTTTTTTTTTTGCGCGTGTGAAACTTAAGGGCCTCACATTTGAAAGTTCGCCTAGGGCCTCTCAAAATATTTGGAATCTCAGGGCCTATAACTTAAATAAGGGAACTATAATATTGCCTAAGGCTCGAGCAACCCTAATTCTAATTTGGAGTTTGTCAAACTGAATGAGTTGTTCGTTTGAAAACTGAACTTCTTCGCCAATGATATCACTAAGTTTAATTGAGGTGTCTTCTTCTGGTTTAGAAGGAGTGAAGTTGATCAAACAGATAGTGTCGATATCACTACCGGTATCACTATCGGTGTCACTGTTTGTAGAACTCGAGGTTTGACTGGAGATCTCGTATAGAATATCTTCGGAGTCAAAAAGCTCGTGACCATAGACAACATAGAGATTATCTGTTTGTAAATGCTTGATCATTTTAGAGGCACTCTTTCCTTTTTTAGGACAGTTTGTTGCAAAGTGACCGGATTCGTTGCAAATATTGTTCAAGCCTTGACGTGAACAAAATATATACGTCCTGTTTGAAAATAGTTTTTACTTCGTGTTTTCTGGAAATTCAGCAGGGTAATAACACCACCTTAGCAAAAACAATATAAAATAATAATAGTAATAATAATAAATGGTTTTTTTTATATTATTATTATTTTTATTACCTTCTTGGTAATTCCATTTCATGTTTTTGTTATGTTCGGGGAATAAAAATATAACAAATTTTGATTTTTTAAGCATTGGGGATCCATTTCATGTATGTTGATGGAATCAGCTGTAAAGGCAGTTGGGTAAAGGTGGTTGGGCAAACAAGTAGAGGCGGCCTGCGATCAAAGGAGGATAAAGGGAATGACCTAAACCATGTTAGGGTTTTTTTTATAAAAAAAAATTGGCCGAACATCCAAATGGAGGCAGGGTTTTCTTTTTCTGTTTTGCAATGTAACCTGTCAATATGGCTTCGGACGGTGCTGATGATGCCTTTTCTGCAAAAAAGAAACAGAAACTTGGTGATGATGAGAAGAAGCAGGAATTGGATGAAACTGATGATGGCGAGAAGAAGCAGGAGTTGGATGAAGTCGTTAACGATGATTTTGATTACGATGAATTGCAAAAAAGGTTTTTCGGGGAGCCAGATTTAAGTTGGATGAACAATAGGCAGATATCTACACATCCCCAGAAAGTGGAATATAAGGAATATGAGGAAGAGGAATATGTAAATTCCGATGATGATGAGCAGATCCAAAAATTGTTGTTTGAACACTCAAAACAGGTTAAGGAAAGCAGGGTACGTGTTCATTCTCTATTCTATAATGCCCTAAAATGTGTTTATTTGGCTAATATAGTTTTGTTTCATTATAGGAATAATGCCCTAAAATGTATTTTTTTGGCTAATATAGCTTTGTTTCTTATAGGGCTTTGATGTTGATGAATTTCCTGATATAAGATCTGCAAATATAGTTGGTATAATTTTGCCACTTCTCGAACTCTCCACATACCCCAAGACACTTGAACTTCTCAACACTCTCTCAGATTTAGCAATTACAAGCTACAATCAGGAAAATGTATGTTTGTATGTATATAGATATATTAGATGTCTATTTTATTTTTCTGACTCTTTATTTTTAATTATATAAAATCTCTTGTAGGATACAAATTACAAGTTTTTGAACGTTCAGAAGGCAAATTCACAGGTTGCTGTTGGTGTCATTTGTTATATTACTTTTGAGGCCAAGAATGATGATGATGACCAGCCTAAAATCTTTCAAGCTAAGGTTTTGGCGGGAATTAACAACGAGCACCGAGTTTATTCATGTTGGCCTAAATCTACTCCTTGATCAAGGTAAATTTCTTCATTAATTATATTTTACAAGCTAATATTAGTAATAATACATAGGGCTTCATTAAATCCATCTACTGTTAAGAGCACAAAGTAGCTGACACATAGGATGATTATTATTATGATTATATAGATTCTACCAACCATCATGTCCTAGGTTCATATTGGCGATGTTAGTGGTGGTTGTCTTGCGGTTTCATTTATGGTTGTTGACACTGAAATTGGTTGAGATAAGAGTCGTGGGAACTGATGAAGAGGTCTTTTGAGCGGTGATGGTTTGTCTGCTGGAGATGTTAAACTGACAAGGCGTTTCATGTTCTTCATAAAATAGTAGAGCATGTAAGAGAGAACATGGTTGTGGAAGTAATATGTTAAAATGTTTGGACTCAGTTTTCAAAATTGAGATGAATGGGGAAAATGGTTATGAGAAGATTTGTGTTGGCAGCAATTCGACTGTGTTGATTGATGATGGTTCTACATTTGTTAGTTCATGAAACTTAGAAGTGCAAATTTGAGTCGAGAGAAAAATTGGTACATTCAAAGACGATGGGGATTCTTTTGCTGAAATTTTGGAATGCTGGTCATAGATGTACAAAATTGCTTCTTTGTCTAGCACGAGGAAAGAGAAATAAAAAACACGGGAATAATGATATTGGAGAAGAAAATAGGGGAATGAAGAAGTAGTGGGTAAGGATAATGAAAGAGGAGTGAGAGGATGGAGAAGGTTTGGGTGATGAAGAACATAGTTATTTTGTTGGTGAATTTTTTGTGGGTTAAAATGAAGTCTTTCTTGGTGGTATAGGGATATCTTCGTTTGCATTGGAACGTGTAAGTTAAGTATAAGAATGGGGTCGTTCCCTCTCTATAGAAGCATACTCGGTATGTCCATCAAAGTAGTCAACAATGTTTGATGTTTTGTTTTCCTTTATACTTTTTTTCTTACCTAAGGTTGGATTGGAAAATATGCAGGAATATCTTGATCGAGTTGTGGGCATTTTAGACTATTTATATTTGTGAAGCATTTGCTGTGTCATTTATGTTACACTAAACTTTAGTAGCCCTTGTTTAAATGGGGATGATGATGTCAAGTGACTGGGTTCTTGGATTTCAATGGAATCCCAATCCTCGTGCATTATACTAATACTACAAGCAAATTTTTTTGTCAACGTGATTGTCGAGTTAAAGAAAAACAATATCAAATAGTTTTATTGTTTGTTAATATTGACATTTGTATTGGTTGAGTGGTATTCTAACAATGTTATCATTTGGCCATTAGCTTAGCTGGTATAACTTGTCATCCCTTAAAGTGGAGGTAAGGGGTTCATGCCCCACAATGGGCATTTGTGGGGGTGTGTAAGTATTTACGTAACCCAAAAAACAAAAAAAAAAAAATGGCACTCCAACAATGTCTAGAATGAAGATGGAAAGAGCTACAAAAAAGAACAATATGAAAGTAGGAAAAATCAATGGTCTTAATTTGATTGTGTTAAAAGGATGACCTCTGAACAATTATGGAATGAGATGCAAAAAAAGGTTTGTGGACTCAAATCCATTATCCCAACAACTATAGAAGAGATCAAAGGAAGTGATATTTACATTTATTCATATATTCTTTATTTTTTTAGGGACTTTGTGTTGGTTAGAAGTGACCTTTGGTGGCCTTGGTAGACTTACGATCCTTCAGATGCATATGCATTGGAGCACGCATCAGAGTATAATCTAAGTGATCATGTCCTATCCAATGTGATTTTGTTTTTTAATTGGAGCATTGTTTCAATGTTTTACTTTACGCATCAGAGTATTATCTAAGGGGGGGTCATGTTCTATCCAATGTGATTTTGTTTTTAAATTGGTGCTTCTGTTTCAGTGTTTTACTTTCATATGAGTATAACATAACCTTTGTGCTATTTTCGTGAATCTTTAGATACATAATTGATTAGTTTGGAGAATGCAGAAAAATATGCTACGTGACTAGTTTGGAGCATGTCTTAGTTTAATTGCAAACTGATCCTTTACTTTTTTTTTTTTTAATAGGTTTTCATCTGTGAGATTATCATCCGAAAAGCAATAATTATTCCAGCCTTAAAATTGACATATGAAGGATGTTTGGCGGTGTTGACAGGAGCAACAGTAATGGTGCTTGTGCAAAAAATGGTATCTCCAGTTAAACTAATTGTTGAATGAAGTGCGACTAATTCCACTTCTATAAAATTTCATTGACAACCTTATTATTAGTTTTTTTGTTGAAATCTAAATAGTAGTGTATCTTATCCAAGAAATGTGGGAACGTCTTTTTTCTCCCCCATGGAGTTGGAAAGTTGGCTCTTTTCCTATTATACATACATATATGTCTACATAAATACAATTTATACATGCATATATGTGTTGCCATGTCCTTGTCCTCGAGGAATATTCATTACCACCATCTTTTTCATCCATGTTTCCACGGTTTGCCCAAGTGAAATATAGCTTTAAGGACATTCTTTAATCTCATCCCTAGATTTTATATTGGAGTCTTTAAAGGCGACGGTTGAAACTGTTAGATTGATTTGGAACTATAAGTAGTTTTGAGGTAGCAATTTTGGAGCTTCCTCTATCATGCCTCGGTCTTCAAGAGGCATGATAGAGGCTTTGAGAGATTATATAGTTGGTTTCTAAGGCCCTCACTTTTGGAGGGTGACGCCTGTGTTTGGTGGTGTTATAGAGGGTACGGAATAAGAGATCTCTTTTATGGCGATGAGACTCCTATTGATGAACTGAAATTCTCTATTGTCATTCTTTGTGTTTTTTCTTGTTCTTCTTCTTTGGGTTGGATTATTGGGAGAAATTGTAAATCAGTGGGAGAGTAGATTTTTAAGAGTTTAGGGGCTCTATTTGGTCTTTGTATGGCTTTTGTGGGATGCGTTATCTATTCAAGTGCCTATACTGTGTCTTTTTAAGTCGCTTTTAAGTGTAGTTCTTAACCAATTCTTCCACGAGGTGTTTTACCATCATGCTTGGTAATTACTTCTTATTTGAAACATAAAGGACATGTTTAGCGACAACTTTTGTTTTTATCCAAAACAGAAGCAGCATGTCTGTTTGGAGTGTGTTAAATTATTCCGAAGTATGTTTGATAATGTTATATTTGTTGTATTATTTTGGAAGTAAAAATATGAAAACAAATTTATTAAAAAAGTTACAAGTTTGAAGAAATAATGACCCCTTAAAAAGGGAATTTAAGAGTTTCGCAGCAAACTTTACCATCAGTGATGTAATACCGTACATAACTTTCACACATAATTATTATTACTTTTGTTGGTAAACCATGTATGAAGGAAAATGTAAATAGATATTACTATAATTTGGACATGCTTAATCTTACGAGGATATTGGAAAAAGGGTAATTAAAAAAAAAAAAAAAAATACCTATGATAATTGGAACAATGTTCGATGCTTGTTTCTCATTCATTTTCAACCCCTTCTTATTTTGCTCTTTTAATTTTAAATGTTTGATGCCTAGAATATTGATTGTTGTGTATATTATAAAATCTAACCACAAACTCAATATCAACACAATATATCACATCCATCTTACTCCCATAGAGAACGCATTTCACTGTTATTTACCAAAAATTCTTATTGAGATTCACTTTTATTTTAGCTCAAAGTTTGGTCGAATACAATATTTTCAAAACTAGTTTCCTACATGAATAACGATAGAAAATCCGAAGAGTAATTCCCGAAATTTCATTGAATCTGACGTGGCTAAAGACAAATAGGATTCATTCTATGTCTTTTAAGACAGGTAGGATTCAACTTCCTTTCTCAACTCACGTGATTTGGGTGGGTTTCGTCTTCAACCGCACAAACTGGATCAAACTCCAAATTTTATGGGTTTTGTATTCAACCGCACAAACTGGATCAAACTCCAAGTTTTAATTATAGTACACAATGACAACGATTTACAGTTTGGAAACTCATGCAATGAAATCGATAAATGCAAACAAACAAAAAACAAAACAAAAAACCAAAAAACCGATAGGAAAAAAGAAAGAAAAAGGGTGTGCCCACTACCCAGTCCCAAAAGCTCTGTTCATCATATGATGAGTTTCAATATTTAATTTAATTTAATTTATTTTATTTAAAAAAAAGTAGTATAATATGTGAGCAGATTCCGACTGTGGTCAGTGTGGATTGCGGCCAAATCAGAACTCATGGAAATGAAATCGATAGATCCAAACAAACAAATAAATATATGTGTAATAATGAAATGCTGTTAAGAAGAAATCTAGCCAACACAAGCCCCCTCTGTACAATATTGAAGACGGTCTCCCCGGTGATATCCAGTTCCAAATAGATATTGATACACTCATATCTATATCTTTGTGTATATATATATACATATATGCTTCCATTGTATATTCTCTTTGTTAAATTTATACTTTTGTTTTCTGATTAGTTATAAAGCACGAATACGGACGCGGATACGAACATGGGACACGGATACGACACGAATATGGCGACACGACAAATTTCAAAAAAATAGGATACGGACACGGCAATGATACGCCTATAAAGTAATATATATATATATATATATATATATATATATATATATATATATAGTTTTATAGGCGTAATAATTATATAATTATATATTCAAAATATAATTACTATAACCTGCACATTCATTTTCTAATAACAAACAAGTATATATAAATACAAAATTGCAAATGAAACAACAATAAATAACATGACCAATTTCAATAATTTTATCTCTGTTATAAGAAAAACTTAGACAAGACAAAACAGAAAATAAATGAAAAATAAAGTTGATCCAAATTCCAAAAGAAGATATACAGAAGAGATATAGCTATAATGGGCTAAATATGTACATGAATAAACATATATACTTTCAGTCTTTCACAATGTCTTATTCATGTAACTTTAAAAAAAAAAAAAAAAAAAAGGTCATGTTCATTTACAGAGATAATTGAAGAAGAGGAGAAACTGAGAGAGGAAGTGAGAGAAAATAAAATTACTGTGTAGTACTCTCTTGTCTGTAGTTGTTTTTTTTATTTTTTCAAAATTTTACTTTTAAAATTAATAAATTACATTAGGTACCCCATTTATCTTAAAAAAAAATTACAAAATATACCCCGCTGTGTCCCCCGTGTCCGAGCCTTGTCCATCCCGTGTCCTCCGCGTGTCTGAGCCGTGTCCATCCCGTGTCCTCCGCGTGTCTGAGCCGTGTCCAATAAAAAATAATTTCTGGACATTTCACAGAAGTGTCGGACATGTGTCCGAAAAGTGTTCGATATTGGAACGGGACCCCTGAGAGGAGTATCTGTGCTTTATAATTGATCAAGGAAACAATTTTAGAAGATAATGGCACCTTCATTATATTAGGATTTTCCCCAATTTTCCTTTTATTTTCTGCACTTCATTTTTTCTTTTTGTTTTGAAATCATTGATGGGAAGGAGTTTGGATTTAGATTGTAGATCAAAAATGGTGGACTGTTATTCTGTAAATAGAATCCATGTTCTGAGGTTGAGGACAACTATGATGGGTGTAGGATCCACTCAAGACACGTAAGGCGAGAGATCACTTTGAATTTTCACACTTTAGAAATATTTAATGAACTTGACGTGGTTTAACCATGTGAAATTCAGTGACAATTCGGAGATAACCATTAGGTTTCCTTCTCACTAAATTTTAATTTTAATTTAATTTATTTTAATTTTTATTTTTTATCTATCTTCAATTTTGCAAAATCAAAAGGTGAGAGACAAAACCAGAATCAATTAAGATAAGATTGAATAAAGAAAAAAAATTGAGAATTAGAGGAAGTGAGGAGATAGAAACGAAGAGGTAGAGCATCTTACGCGTTTATACTTCTAGAAAATAATTTGACGGTTGAGCCACGTCGAACTTAACCTCTCATTCGGTTGTTTAGTTTGGTTCTCATAACATTTTCTATTTTATTTTGTTTAATTTTTTTTTTCCTGCAAAGGTACTTATTTGCAAAATTTTAAAAAAAAAAAATAAATTAAGGAGCTTAATTGAACGTTAGGCCATTTTTTAAATAAATAATAATAATAATAATAATAATAATAATAATATAACAAGTTACAACTTTATAAAAAGAGAAATCAAATTGCCTTTATAAAAAAACAATAATAATGATAAAAAAGACAATTTTCTTTTCTTTTTTTCAAAAAAAAACTTTTACCTAACGTTTTAACAATTTAAGAGGAAACGCCCATAACGTATATTCTTTGTAACACTTTGCCTCCCTCTTTAGAAAGCGTACTTAAAACCCTTAATGTTTTAACATTGTTGAGGAAAGTCCCTTCAAATTATTTTTTACAAAAAGTTTGAAATAAAATAATCCTATAATGCCAGTTTCGCTTTTTTACTCTTCTAAAAATGTCCATAGGGTTTTGTTTAGATATTTTTTTTTTGTTGGGTTGGCCCGCTTCAATTTGGGTCAAACCCAAATCAAAGCGAGCTCACCTGTATGCACCACACCAGATCCCAACCTTTGCTGGGATTTGTTTTGCACGAACAGAGAGAGCTTACTGTCACGGGCTTAGAGTTTCAGCACCATTCTAGTTACTCTCGTGCGGCATCAAGACGTTGCTTCTACTCTTGCAAGTACTTGGTCAGCCTAACTCCCGTGCACACCTTAGCCAACACACTCCCCTCGTGCACTTACTAGTGTTGTAGTGGCCCTCGCCCTCTCCTCACTTGGCTTACACACTCACGTACACTAAGGCACTTAAGTTGGCAAGGAAAGAACACTTCTATTACTTCAAAGAATGTTTTGTACAAGGTTAGAACTCAAACTCTCTACAATGCTCTCAAGGTTCACTCCAGGACTTGTTGGCTACAAAATGAAGTCCTACTCCTATTTATAGGCATCCCCATCCCTAATGGATGGATAGGATGCATTCCAACCAACGGTGGAGATCGATTCTCTAGAACCTACTCCCACCTTCTTCACATTTCCATACTTATCTACTAGTATTTACAACATTCTAGAACTCTCCATACTAATTCACACAATTCTAGAGAATTCTAGAATATACTACACATATCTAGAATCTTCGACACAACTTGTAACGTTTCCAATTTTCGGCATTTTTCATTTTTCTGGAGTTTTTGTCGCCGCAAGGGCATTTTCGTCTTTTCACGTCTTGCGTGCGGGGATTGTAGTAAAGCCCAATTGCATTTGTGCATTTTAATTTATGTGGGTTAAGTGATATTTGTATATGGTGCACTTATGTGTATGAGGTGTAAAATGAAAGAATAAAG